TGGGCCAGCAGCACTACACATCCCCATCCCCAGTCGGCACCTGCCCTTTCTCCTCCCAAATGTTTCCCTCCCCAGGAGAAATCCCATCCATATGGGACAAGAGGAGATGGACTTTACTTTGGTGTAAATCTCCAGACATTTCTAAGAAACATTCAGCTCCACTGGAGGAAGGCATGTGTTGCTCTCAGCTCACTTGACTTCAGCACTGATCTGTTGCATTTGTGAAACCCCAGCTACTGGAGGCAGGTGATTAGTGCTCCAAAATCAGTAATTTTTAAGCGCTCTTCTTCTGCAGGAGCCAGCTGAAAAGCATGGCCTAAATGTGTCCCAAACACATAAAATCCAAAATACCATCATGGAGATGCCAGCTCTGATTATTTTCCTAAAATCTCATGACCTTTAAACTAATATTTTAATTTTTTACAGCCTGACTCGTAAGAAAAAATCTTCTAACAGAGCAGTGGCTTCACAGTCCCAAGGGCTGCAATCTCCTTCCCAGTTTTGCGATGCCTTTGCAGTGATTGGATTTTGCTGTACCCTGCCTTAGGATCCCATCTCCTGTGCCAACTCACATCGTGTTTGCTTTTTATTCATAACTTAAAGCAGACTATATAAAGGCAGGCAGGAGTGCACGTTTTTATGATTTCTGCAAAATACATTGCCCAAGTACACATAGCAGCAGTCCTACTGTGGCCACGCTGCTCTGCGTAAAGCAAAGCTGAGGGTAGATGTAATATCTTTTATTAGACCAACTAATACAATTGGAAAAAAACAGACAAGCTGTCCGGCACACACGGCCTTCTCCATATCTGTGTGTGCATATGTGTGCACTATATAGATAGACATATGTATGTGATATAGAGATACATCTATCGTATGTATGTGGCCTAGGTACATGTAGACCCTGTTCTGGCAGGGCTCTGAAAGGCAGGACAGTCTCACAAACACCTTGAAGAGAGACAGAGGACCCTGATATGCTACACACACACAGAGCTGGTTTTCAGCTATTCCTCTCTCTGTAAGGGCAAGTCTTACCCACACCATGTGGGCATGCTGCTGTGTGAGGTTTGGAAAGTTTAGCACCTCACCAGCACTAAGGAGCCCATGAGGGAACAGGGCTGAAAAACATGTTTAGGATAGTTTAGGTACAAATGACTCTAATAGGTGACCTGCTTTGTCAGACTTACTGTGAAGAGCTGGTTCTCCACGTCGTCACGGACTAGGTCGATGCCCATCCTCTTCTCCCGGTGAAGCAAGCACTCCTGAGAGACCTGTTGGGGACATGCCATGCAACAGGGATGGTCCCCACATCAAGTAACATGAGAAAAGAAAGTGGGCGCAGAGGTGACAGCAGGGGAAAGAAGTGCCCAGGGCAGCTGGTTTAGCTGACAACAAGCAACCAAGCTGCAACATCAGCATTAAATCAACATGAGGGAGCACACATGTTCCTGGTACAACCGCAGCAGGGACCTGCGTCAGGCTTGATGCTGACCTCGCCAGAGCCTCATTGTAAGACATGGGCTTTTGTCTCCCAAACCAGCAATCTGGATATACTGCTTATAAAAATATTTGGTTAAGCAAATACTGTTCTGATGTGCTCAGTATACGCTGATAGGGGATGCAGCAGATAGCACGGGATTTGTTTACTACTAACCCAGCTAATGGTCTCTTAATAAAAACTTTCTAGACGTTACAAAGCTGTAATGAAACTGAATTAGACATCTGAAGGGCAGCAGATGTTTCACCAGCAGGCTACAGCTTGCAGCCCTCTGGACAGGGTGCTTACCTGGAGAGGGGCCTCTGTCTCAGCCAAGGCTCTCTCCAGTCGTTTCTTCATGTCTGTGAGTGCGTTGGTCTCCCCAATCATCTCATCCAGCTCATGGCAAAGCTCTGACTTCCAAAATTCTATATCATTGACACGTTGTCCCAGGTTTTTGGTGCTTTCTAGTTGGGTCTTCTTTGTCTGCTGATACTTATCCTGAATCATGCAGGAGGTATCAACTCTCAGACGCTCTGCATTGTGCCGGGAAGTCTCCGACTCTTTGTAGTTGGTCAGGTTGGACCTGTACCAGTCATCAGGGGTGTATCGGCTGAGGACACTTGTTCTGTTGGAAACAGAATCAAGCATCTTGCTAGGGGCTAACCCCTGGGAGCATCTGGAAAAGGGAGCCAAATTTGGGTTGATGGCCGCTGTTTTATGGTAGGTGCTGGGCAGCCAGGGGAGGCTGACCCTCTGAGGCAAGGGGTAGCAAGGAAAATGGTTCTTATAGCTTGAAGCCATGGTGCTGATAGCAGGCAGAAACTTGGTAGGTGTTGATCTTGGATGGGCATATGTTGCTGTTAGGGGAGAGCCAACCAGCTCCATTCTTGAACTCTTCTATTCAGGTATGTGTCCTGCACAAAGGAGACAGAAGAAAACGACCTCACTCAGTAAGCTCCTGCACTTGCGATACTTCTTACAGCAACACACACAACTTATAACACAAACAGCGATGCACGCAGCACCCACACATTGCCTGTACGGGCCTAAAACTCTTGAGAGCAAATCCCTTCTGGCAACATACCCCAAGCATTTGTATATATAAGGATTTGACTTTGTTGTTAGTATCTAGTGTCAGGTCTTGAAATGAGGAGAGAAACAAATCATGGCTGCTAAGGAGAATGACAGATATTATGCCTTCATTTTCCTTAAATCTGTCAATCCAGTGAAACTGTAATTGCTGATTCTCTGCTGTTCATTTGTTTCTTTTGGCCGGTGTATCTGCTGATCTTACAGCGCTCCAGATGTAATTGTCTCTTTAAAAGTTCCATTACAGGACTGATAGCTCTGGACACACAGCTGCTACCAACCCAGTGTTATTTGCAGGCAAGGGACTCCATCCTCATCGTCTCTGTCTTCACTTACATTACACGCTCAAGTGAGGAGTCTGCAGGTGAGCTGAACTTTGCAGGACTATATCC